TAAATAAATAAATAAATAAATAAATAAATAAATAAATAAAGATGAGTGCAGCAGTGCCTCTGAGCTGCTCTCCTGGGCACACTGCCTATGGGGTACCCCAGCTCTGTAAGGAGCAGTGCTCTGCTGCTGCTGTCTGCTGTGGCTTCAATATCAATAAGAGTTGCTGTTAAACACCACCAGCTTGCCCTCGAATTCCTTCCTGGGCAAAGTCAAGAACCCTCCCAGGCTAACCCCCAATTTGGAGGCTTACCTAACCCAAATCATCTGCTGCCACCATGCCCAGTTAATTTTTTAATCTTTTTGAGACAAGGTCCTGCTGTGTTACGTAGGCTGGCCTCCGACTCTTGGCATCAAGTGATCCTCCAGCCTTGGCCTCCCAAAGTGGTAGGATTATAGGCTTGCGCCACTGGCAAAGCCACTCTTTTTATTTTAATCTTATTAATTTTGTAAATTTTTTTAAAGACAGCGTCTCCCTATGTTGGCCAGGGTGGCCTTCAACTCCTGGCCTCAAGCAATCCTCTCTCCTTGGACTCCCAAAGTGCTAGGACTACAGGTATGAGCCACCATGCCCAGACTGAATTTATTTTTGGTAATGAAAAATATTTACACAATTCAAAGGTGAAAACTATGAAGAGAGTCAGACTTGGAGGAGCTTCCCCTCCTACCCCTGTCCTTCCCTGTCCTTCCACCTTCCCCTCCATCCCTACCTAACTTATTATTTGTACTCATTTCCAGTTTATCCTCCCATGGTTTGTTTTTGCAGAAGTAAGCACATGTGGGCACATACATGTCTGTGCATAAACACACATGTCCACACACAGCCTCACACATAGTTATGCATATGCTCACATACATGTGCACACACATATTCTTGTTTGCCCTCTGTTCTACCATTGTATACACACCATTCTAACCTCTTTATTTTCATTATTAGAAATTATCCTCATTTTTTTTTTTTCAGTCGAGTTCTCCATTGTGTGGATATCCTTGATTTTTCCAGTTAGTCCCTGATGATGGACACTTGGGTTTTCAGGTCTTTGGCAAATCAGATGCCCCGGTGGACTTGCGCCCCGGGCTGGGCTCCCTCTGCCCTGGATGAGGGGTGCCCAGTGGAGGAGGGGCCCCTGCGGTCTGATCAAACTATTGGATTTTTGCCTATTAGGGAGGTGAGACGTGGATCTCAATGAGGTTTTATTTTTGTGTAGTTTAACTTGCATTTCTCTTACGAGTGAGGCTCAGCCTCTTTTCCTTTCTCATTTCTGTGAACTGTGATCTGTCTATATCACGTCTGTATCCCCCACTAGATTGTCAGCCCCACCGGGCAGGGGGCTTTCTTTATTTCAGCTGCGGTGTCCATAGCCGAGAAACATGGCTAGGCTGCCTTACGCCCAGTAACTGTTTCATTGAGGAATGGAAGAAGGAATGAGTGAACGCAGACGCCCATCACTCCCCTCTTCGTCCTGATCGTTCTGAAATCAGGAAATAGTACACATTCGGGAGAAATAAAGACAGAAGACCACGGAGGTCCCAGGGAGAGCCGGGGCGGGTGGGCGGCAGCACTGCTCCCCTTACCGCAAAGGCCGAACTGCACCCCTTCTCCACCACGCCTGGGTGCCGAGTGCCCCCTGCTCCCGCCCCGGGAGCTGCACTTCCCTCTGCTTCTTACAGACCCTGGAGTCGGTGCAAGGATCTCTGCGGCCCAGCAGTGGCCGGGAGACAGCCGGGGCGTCCTCCTCCCGCTCCGCCTCCCCACGCGCCCGCCCCCCAGGGACCACAGAGACCAGGTGGACGCTGCTTCGTTCGTTGGTTTATTGGCACATTACGCGGTAAGTGGGGCTGGGGAACCTGGAGGGGAGGGGCCGCAGCCTGTCCTGGGGGTCCCGGAGGCGGTGCTCAGCGGTACTTCTCGGTCAGGACAGAGGATACGACCGCTAGGAACTTGTCCCAGGCGGCGTGGGCCTCGGCCGTGAAGTCGGCGGGGAAGCGCGCGGCCAGGGTGACCAGCAGGCAGTGGGACAGGAGCTGG